ATGAAGACGAAGAATTCTTGATTATGGCGATATATTGAACAACCAATTGTTATGCTAACAATAGACTCTCGTTATATTGCCGTTGATGGAGATATGAAAACGGAGAATTTTTGGAAGTCAGAACTATATTGAATAACAAATTTTTTATTTCAACAGTAGACTCTCGTTATATTATCGTCGACAAGAATGTAAGAACTGAACATTCTTGCAATTTGCAATATATTGGGCCATTAAATTTGTCATTCAATACTGCGGCGGTTCTGTCGGATGCATTAATGTGTATGGTAGTTAGTGTGAATGTGGCAATATTACGAGAGTCTACTGTATACTTGTATACTTTATATCTTTTGTCTATGTATAGAATAGTACTTGTGGTATATCAATCACTTATATGACGCATATCAAATGATATGCGAAGTCATAAAATTCTGAAATACTTGCATGTCAGTAAATTATACTTAAATGTCATTGCTCAGAAAAGTTTACTTAACCTATTTAATGCACCTTTCCAAATCAGACAACTTTTTCAATAATTACGAATATCAACATTTTTCAATTTTTTTTGTTGATAGATAAAAATAGTGACAAGAATTAAGACGATAATATGAAATAACCCACTCTATATAAACCGTCGCCGAAAGTGAGGTTAGCGAATACAAAATACGTCGAGACGTGACCCGAAGCGGTGATTTAGAAATTTAATTTGATATTCCTCACCGCGAGATGCAAATAATTATCAAACGTAAAATGACATTACGGTAACCAACTGGACCAGCGTCGCGCAATCACCGTCCAGTATTATGTATCCTTATGAGAGAAATGGTATTTGCATTTGAAATGCTTTGACCTTTTCGGATCTGCACGCTGTAGTAGTCTCTGGTTAGCTTGATTCGCCGACGGCGATCTTCACCGAGTCGCACCATGTTGCCGAGTTATGGACAGTGATCTCAGAATTTTTGCGTTAAGTATATCTAACACAAACAGCCTGCATTCTACTTTTCTACGTACAGTAGACTCCGAATATATTACCGCGAGCAGATTTATAGAAATGGGAAAATCTACATCTAGATGTAGCGTATTTTAAAACCGTGCTGTTCCAGAATTTGAATTCTTTACATGAGTTATACTTTGTAATAACAATAAACTCTCATTATATTGCCACATACGAAAGGGTAAGATTGGATCATTTTTTAATTTAACAATGTAGACAGAACTCTTGACGTGAAGTACTTGAATATTATATGAAATGAGTTTTGTCTCGATGAAGCTAAATTCATTATGCCAGACTCTCGTTATATTGCATAAAACGTGGGAAATTCTTGTAATTGGCAATATAATTAAGTGTAGTGCATTTGAAATGGCAATCCCAGAATTCGGATTCTTTATGCTAATTATATTTCACAATAACAATAAACTCTCGTGATATTGCCACACACGAAACTGTAGGGCAATTTTTGGATTTGGCAATATGTAGAAACATACTTTCATAAAATACTTTAATGTCATATGTAATGAATTTTGACTCGATGAACATCAATAGTAAACTCTAGTTATATTGCAAGTCTAGTGGCCAAATTCTTGAAATTATCAATATAACAAGATTTACTGTATGTGAAAATACAATATTCTAAAATGGTAGTTGTTTCTATTAGCTATCCCTTCCAAGTATAATACTCTCATTATATTGCCACATACGAAATTGTAAGAGTGAAAACTTTATGAAACCGGCCATCTATAAAAAACTCTTTGATACAGTATGTGACTATAACATATAATATGTTCCACCTCAATGATATTTAATTAGGCACAGTTACCTCTTGTTATATTGCCACAGTTGGTACTTCGAAAGCAAACAATATCTTCAATTTACAATATAACAAGATCTACAAGACTTACAAAAGTCGTATTCCAGAATTCAACCTGTTTGTATTAATTATCTCGTCCAAGTACAGTAGACTTTAATTATATCGCCAAAAATAAAATTGTAAGCCTACATTTTTAAAATTGGTAATAAACATGAAATTTCTTCCGCAAAGTACTTGATTATCACACATGATAAGTTTCGCCTGAATGAAGATGAACCTTTCAAAACATACTCTCGTTATATCGCCAACATCGAAATTATAAGTACAGAAAATACATCCATCCTTGAAATCCATCGAACGTATTTATGAAGGAATATTTATTTCGCGAATAAATGAATATTAGCGAGTTTTTTGTATATCCGTATCATCTCGGAGACAGATTACTCGTTCAAGGTTTAACTAGGAAGCCATTGCCCATATTGCAGCCTAGTAAGTGTAATCGATGATTCACTTTTTCCCCTGACTTGTGCACAGCCGATATTCTGTTACGTAAATACTATAAGGAAACCGCGATCTATAGATCGTTCCATGAGCTGTGGTAACTGACGAAACCGAGAATACTTGCCAGTTGTGATATTGCACACTATGTGCAATCTTATGCTTAAAGAAACATTAGAAGTTAACCTTTGTACGACAATCGTCGGTTCAATTGTGATACAGATTCATGAAACAATGTATGAGGGTTCATTGACGATCATTAGGTATTCAAGTTTCTATACGGTAAACTTTCACTTGATTAATTTAAATTCTAAGATGAATATTCATTTAGTATAATTCCTGTTAAAATTCTTGTCGATTAAGGAACGTTACAGATATTCAAGAAACAAATTTTGAAATTTTTTAATTTTTTAAATTGTGAAATTTTGAAATAGGGATTTTTGGAATTGGGTATTTCAGAATTAGAATTTTTGCACTTGGAAATTTCGGAACTGAGTTTTTTGGAATAGGGAAATTTGGAATTAGAAATTTTGAAATTGGAATTTTTGGAATGTCAAATTCTGTAATTTCGATTTTTGGAATTGGGATTTCTTTGGAATTGGGATTTTTGGAATTGCAAATTTTGGAATTAGGATCTTTAGCATTGCAAACCTTGGAATTGGGAATTTTGGAATTGCAAATTTGGAATTGGGATCTTTGGAATTGCAAACCTTGGAATTGGGATCTTTGGAATTGCAAACCTTGGAATTGGGAGTTTTGGAATTGGAATTTTTGGAATTGCAAACTATGGAATTGCGAGCCTTGGAAATGGGAATTTTGGAATTGGGATTTTTGGAATTGCAAATTTTGGAATTAGGATCTTTAGCATTGCAAACCTTGGAATTGGGATCTTTGGAATTGCAAACCTTGGAATTGGGATCTTTGGAATTGCAAACCTTGGAATTGGGAGTTTTGGAATTGGAATTTTTGGAATTGCAAACTTTGGAATTGCGAGCCTTGGAATTGGGATTTTTGGAATTGCACATTTTGGAATTAGGATCTTTAGCATTGCAAACCTTGGAATTGAGAATTTTGGAATTGCAAATTTTGGAATTGGGATCTTTGGAATAGCAAACCTTGAAATTGGGATCTTTGGAATTGCAAACCTTGGAATTGGGATCTTTGAAATTGCAAACCTTGGAATTGAATTTTTGAAATTGCAAACCTTGGAATTGGGAATTTTGGAATTGCAAACCTTGAAATTGGGAATTTTGGAATTACAAACCTTGAAATTGGGAGGTTTGGAATTGGAATTTTTGGAATTGCAAACCTTGGAATTAAGAATTTTTGAAATTGCAAACTTTGGAATTACAAACCTTGGAATTGGGGATTTTGGAATTACAAATTTTGTGAGCTATACTCATCGAATGTCTCCAGTATAATATACACAGAATTAAGATATGTTTGTATTAAATATACAGACAAAATATTGCAAACTTATGTTCGCATAATGTATAATGACCATATAATCTTTCGTAACTTTATTTTATTTATGAAATTCCATATGCAAATTTTTAATTAGGAGGTCACCCACCCTAATTCCTACCTAGTTACACCACTGTCTCAAACTATTTCTCAATGCATTTGAATCCGATTCTAAAATATGTCTATCATTAAATAAAATAATGATGTAATAAAAGTTTAATTAACTTCGTTAATTAACTAGACGTTATTTGCATGTGACATAACCTAATAAAATTGCAAATACGATGAGGAATTAATGACACGTTTAGAAATGCCGGTAAACGTGTTGCAAGAAAGAGGAAATTATTATTTTTCCGTCAAGTATCGTTTCTGAAACGGAAACAAGTTCACGCATTTTTTAGACAGAAGGGAGGTTAGCCACGGTGGGAAAATGACCGCGCCATACTCGAGAATTGCTTTGATATGAGGTAATGCGCACCGCAAAACACGCAAGTCGTATTACGTAATGTATTTCAAGTGTGTACAAAGCACCGGTGACCGTGCATATTTGCTATATATTTATTATACAAGCGATCGTGTAACTGCAGTTTCCGGCAAAAGGAAATCGTTGCACGTAATTTTCACCCAATCGCGCCGCTGGACCATTAATTACGAGAAATCTAGTTTTTTTGCTACATTGACATAATATTTGCTTATAGTAGCGTGACCCTTCATTTTCATCGTCACAATTCTTTCATACAACCTAAAAGAACTTACTATTAATTTTAACTTTTGACATCTTGCAAATACATTCTTTTACTTATTAATAGTTTTATCACGTTTTGGAACAACAACTCGTTTAAAGTAAAATAAAAGTGTAAGTATTTTCTAGATTAGAAAATATATTTGTGTATGACTCTGGTGTATTTAGTCCTTTTCATCCTTATGTTTTCTAGTTTCAATTTTTATGCTTAAACAATTTTACTTTATTGTAAAAAATATTTTTGTATTATATAGTTATAAATAATTATTATATTATCATAAAAATCCGTTAAAAATTATTATATTATTAAAATTATTAAAATTATTAAAATTATTAAAATTATTAAAATTATTAAAATTATTAAAATTATTAAAATTATTAAAATTATTAAAATTATTAAAATTGTTAAAATTATTAAAATTATTAAAATTGTTAAAATTGTTAAAATTGTTAAAATTGTTAAAATTGTTAAAATTGTTAAAATTATCGTAAAATTCCATTTACGCCACATCTTTGAAAGCGATTAAAATTCCCGCTCACAACTATAATGCTACAAAACACTCTTAAATTGCAAATCATCCGACTTTTTTTAAAATAAAAACAATCTTAATTGTTTTAACGCTTCAAAGTTCCATTAATTCGCTGTGAATTAAGTGACAAAGGAAGGAAAATGCATTTGGAATCAACAGCTTAGATATGTAAACATTTAATCGCTTCTCGGTAGTATAAAATCATCGCTAAATTTTTCTTTCAAAACGATTCAGAGTATAGTTACATAAATTTATACTTGCAATCAGTGATGAATCAGTCGAAGGAAAAATACTAAAATATATTTATTAAGTGACCTAGCTTTCTTTACTTTTAGGTTATGTCTATTAACTTGTAAGCATTTTAGGCGGGAGTTCATTTCAAAAGGTATAAAATTAATATATGAGTAGAAATGATAATTTTATTAATTTATTAAGAGAAGTAAATATACAGAAATATATATTTGTTATTTAATCCAACATATTTTATTTTTAGGTTATGTTTACTTAAGCATTTTGGTACATGACGTCATTTCAAAATAAATAAAATTAATACATAGGTAAAAATGATAATTTTATTAATTTACGAACAGAAGGAAATACACTGAGATATATTTATTAACCTACTTCTCTTTATTTTTAAGTAATGTTTATATAAATATTTCTGTATATGGATATTATTCAGATCATATGGGATGAATAAATGAATAAATAAATTATTTGTGTCAGAAACGTGTTTGAAATTCACAAGTGAAATAAGATGACAATTTCATTATACAGTATAAATGTTTAACATACAATATGACAATCGTGACAGTCATAGTTACGATTAAGGTTAGGTGCACGGGTGTGCCCGCGAGTTTCTTGAGAACGGAGGTCAGCAGTTTGGTCTACATAACAAAAGCAAACTAGATACGGTAGTAAACTACATCTAGTTCCTACTTTCTCTTTCGCAGACTCCGTTGTCAATGAAATAATCTCGCTATGCTCTTGAAAATTTTGCACAAAGGTAAATTATATTGGGTAATTAAATTTTGTATAATTGCAAACTCTATAAAAATTGTTCCTCTTAAAATTTTTATATCATCCGGCAATTACAAAAATCTCAATTGTTAATTTTATTTTTAGTAAATTTAGTCAACAGTTTTTATATTTAACCCTATTTTTATAGGACAAGCTTTGGTAACAAAATTATTTGTAATTTATATTGTAACGTGGTCTCCATTAAAATCAGTGATAGATCCGTATGAATATTCATACACCTAGTGAAGTACCAAGAACTACACGCGCCCTGCACCTTCACATTAACCAAAGATTGTTTCAATTTGTTTATAGTATTTATCAATAATTTGTTTCAAAAAGAACTTTTAATTGTTTGGTTTTAATAACAAACTGATTCTTCCAAAATTCCCACATGTGTCAACCCTATCAACATTTTTGTATCATGCTCCTACACGTTATTTTCCTTATTTTCTAAATATCATCCACTTTATTTAACATACTTAAAACAAATGCGATTGTATTTTTAACGCGAACAAATTCGTGTCTCAAGAGGTTAATACGCTTGTTACTACCGATTGTATAAATCAATCAATGATGCGTGCACAAAAATGATCAATCAACCTGATTTAGTTACACCTACTATATACATGCATATATGCACAACGTACTGATAGTCATGGTACAGTCAAGAGCATGTCTGGCTTCCCTAGGGAAAAGATTAAGAATCTGGGGATAAATTGAGGACTTGGGGATTTGGGGATCAAATAAGATCTAGGGGATTTAACAATTTGGGCGTTGAGAACCTAGGGACGTAGATTGGAAATCAATCTAGGGATTTGTCCGTCTAGGGATTTTGGAACTTGCATTTGGGGATTTAGAGAATTTAAAAATTTGAGAACTTGGGGATACAGAAATATGAAAACCTAGGAATAAGGGAAGATAGTTTATAGATCTAGGGAAATGAGGATTTAGTAATTTGGGGACCTTGAAAATAGATCTAGGGACATGGAGATTTAGTAATTTGGGAACCTTGAAAATAAGGAAATAGAAATTTAGAGATTTGGAGCCCAGGAATTTGAAAACAGAAATTTTGGGACTTGAAATTTAGGGATTTTGAAATTTGTGAATATAAAAGTATAGGGATCTAGGGATTTTGAAACAGAAATTTACAGATCTTGGGATTTTTGGTCCTAGAAATATGAGAATCTAGAAATTTGAGATCTAGGAATTTAGTACCTAGGAATTTTGACACCTAGGGATTTAGGGATTTAGAAATTTGAGGATCTACATATTTGGGAATGTAGAAATGTGAGAATCTAGATATTTAAAAATCTAGGAATTTGAGAATTTAAAGATTTGAACATTTGTAATTATAGAAATCTAGTAACCTAGAAATTTAATACTAATGAAATCTAGTAATATAGAAATTTGGGGATTTAAAAATTTGTCACTATAGAAATCTAGTAACTTGCAAATTTGAGGATTTGGAAATTTATAACTATATAAATCTAGTAACATAGAAATTTAAGAATTTAAAAATCTAGAACTATAAAGATCCAGTAATTTAGAAATTTGAGGATTTGAAAAATTAGTAATTTGATAGTTTACAAAATTCACAAAATTGCAAATTTAAGAAATTTGAAAATTGTGGTACAAAAGCTTCAATAAAAAAACTTGAAAACTTAAAAAATTTTTTAAATTAAAAAACTGAAAATTTGGTAATTTAAAATCTGCACAAATTGAAAATGTAAAAATAAAAAAATTTGAAGCATGTGTCCTTAACGAAAGGGTACCCCGCGCTGCACCCGAGTGTACGATCAAATCGGATGGGTGAAAGAACTGTAAAGATTGTGTCGCAATATGTGCCATGCTCGTCGTAGACGATGATATAACGTCGTGTCGTCGTTTATCATCCACGCGTGCACAAAAACACACTCACGTATCATGTTTTCACTCTCACGTATGCAAGTACGTGTCTCGTACAATCGGCGCGAACTATTCGTTACGCATGCACTCCGCATCATGGTCGGTCAACCTAGCTTAACCTTCTATTACGTACGAGACGTATACACACGCGTGCGCTTCTATATGCATAAGTGCAAAATACAAACGCACATGCGGTATTATGTTTCGTGGTTGTATGCAGATAACACGTACACGCACTTTCAGCGATATAACATGATTCCGTGTTTGTGATATTGCTACTTGCACCGTGAGATTATCTTACAATTAACTGCATCAATGTATGCCAATATATTACTGCTAAATTATTCGTTCGAATTTTATTCGTCGAAATTTATTAAATTGATTCAATTTTTTAATTACTTTCATGAAATAATTATTTTATAAATATTGAATATTTTTTAATATTTTGTTTAAATTGAGGTTATGTTTATATTAAGTTATGTCCTGTTAGGTTTGGTTAGACTGAGTTAATAATTAGTGGTCAATGTTAGGTTGGGTTTATTTTAGGTTAAGATTAATTTAAAGTTAGATTACAGTTAAGGTTGGTTTAATGTTAAATTTGGATTATGGTTAATAATCATATTGCAGTTTTATTACACACGACTACTATTATGTCAGAATCAAGGTTAGGTTATGTCCGGTTAGGTGAATTACTGATTTATTGAAAGGTTTCATCATAGTATCCATAGCATTAAAATTTGTATACTTAAATGGTCCCTTTTATGAACATTTAGAATTTGTAAATTTAAATAATTAAAAATTTTAAAAATACAAATTAGTAACCTTAGCAGTTCATAAATTTCAGAATTTGTAAACTTAATGAAAGAACTTGAAAATTTGTAACCTGTTAACTTTGATAACTTATACATTTAACAGTTTGAAAATGAGAAAATAAAATTTATAAGTTTGACTATCTACAAAGTCAAAATCTCAAAAGTTTGAAAATTTGTTTGAAAATATACATTGTTAAAACTTTTAATCATACGAATGAATATAACCTAACCTGGTCTATGTGGCCCTAAAGTTCACTGGGCTTTAATCACGATTTTATTTTACCAATAATAATATATATATTTATAAATACAACAAATTTAATATTAAAAAATATTTTCAATATCCTTATTCCCCAAATAATTGCATTGTCCCATTATTTTACAATGACATTAATTTAAATTCCTACCAAAAATATCAGTCTACAATAAAACCACATTTACAAAACTTGATTTACTAAATTTTTACAAAATTCAAATCCAAGCGCACTGCGCTTGAATACAAGAAATTCCAATCGTCTAATGGAATGGAATAACTGTGCATTAAATAATTTATAAGCATTTTCTTAACGCGTGACATTTTATCTTCATATCGTGATCTGTCATTTAAACCAGTATACACAATGCAACGCAGTTACGAACTCCATTTTAATTGTCTGGATTAGATCAACTGCATCGATTGGTGTTCGCCTTACAGCGAGTTAAAGAAAAATCGATGTAATCGATAATAAACATCGATTTAATTCGCGCAATAAACCACACGAACATATCAAACGTTTCCATTATCCTTCAAATACGTTTACTCTTTACGCATTAAAAATGTTAATAAAAACGTTTCTCACCTTTTTGCACAGAAACAAGTATCGTACGACAAAGTTAGCCGCAGAAAATGCATGCTCGTGAAAAATGAGATGTCGCGGTGTCCGATAGTGGGGTCGCATCGCTTTAAACCCGCGAACGCATGAACGAAAATCGCCGAAGTATAAACCACGAATAAAAATAAAGCTTTAAGAAAAAAGACATATCAATATTTATCTTATATAACGTTATTTCCTCAAGATGTTCGTAATTGAACTGCATACTTTGGTATGAGTGAAAGACGTTCGAAAACTTGATTTATTAAACGTATCATTTTCCTTATTGATAGTTTACCAATCGATACATTTACGTGCCCCACTTACAGATCTATCGTGGACACTTGTTCCTGGAATCGCTAGCAACTTACATACATGTAAAACTAACCACGCACTATTATTATGTACATGTATTTCGTGACAACTTAAAAGCGTTTCTTTTACGCGTCTTGAATTATTCGCTAGAATTTCATCGATTTCGATTAGAGATCGTTTTACTCGCAATGCGAGCAAAATTGATGACTTACCAAGCGCACGAAATGTTATCGTCGTGGCAGTACACATGTAACAGTACACGGATCCGATAGTAAGACACCCTTACATAAACACTCACCTTTAATTTATTGGCTAACGGTGTTCACAACTTTGACACTTCATAACTGATGATGACACTTGATTTTTCGACACGAAACAAACAATTATTGGAAAGCGGAGTTTAGAACGCGCGCAAGCATTACGTGAACAGTGAACGTTAACGCAACCTCGCAGATTGCCGCCTGGCCGGCAGAGCGCCAGAATTTCGGAATGGTTTAAAAAACCCTGTTCCTTGAGATGGCGACACCTTCTGACTGAAGCCCTGATCGCGATTGGATCGTCAATCGATATTTCGCGCGAAACGAATTATGGGATTAGCGAGGGAAATGCACGACCTTCGGAACTCCGGTAATGTTTAAGCTTGCAATTATCTGGTATAACTATATCAATTTCGACAAACGATTTTAGAAAATTTTACTTCACACTTCATCGAAATAAGGAAGAAATTCATTCTGAAGGTAATTTTTGTAATTTTTACTACATTGATATGATATAATATTTATAACTGAGAATTCAAGAAACTTGAAAAATTAGATATTTGTAAAATTAACAATAAAAAAATTTGGAATCAATAACATTGAAAATTTGGGAATTTGAAAGTTTATGATTTTAAAAATATCAGAAGTTTATTAAACGATGTAAATTCAGGGTTTTGAAAAATTTGATTATCACTGAAGGTGTTGTAATTTTGTGAAATTATTATTTCCAAAATATCGAGCATCCTTTCAATTTCTTCCTTTGCAAATATTAAACATTCCTAAACAACTACATGTAAGAAGATGTTAAAATAATAAAAATGCGATATATCAATTAATTTTATTTAAACTGTAACATTAATGAACATGATTTTTTGTCGAACTATTTTTAGACAATCAATATTTTTGTATCATTAAATTATTACAAACAAATATGTATGTATTTATAAAATTTACATCTTTAAATGTTTATGCTTGTAATACTGGTCTTTCGTGTTTTCCTTCTAAACAGTTATTAACGGCTGAATATCCAGTACCACCCTGAAAAATAATTTATATTATTAGTACCAAATTATTTTACATCCACTACATTTCTTACCCTCTGTAAAATTATAATATCTTTCTCTGTTAATTTTGTACTATCCAAAGGATTAATCCAGTCTTTTTTAATGATTTTTTCTACACACTCCAATGTCACTACATCTCCACTAAATAAAACAAAACCATGATAAAACATGATAAAACAATTGGTATTAAACAACAATAAATCTTACGTTGTTCTTATAACTGCGCATGGAACACTGTTGCTTAAAACATCATGAGTAATTGGACACATGTATCGAGCCTGTTTAACAATAAGAGATTTTTTGTCATCTGGATCTTTTATTTCAGTGAATTTTATAGGAATAAGGTCTTTTATTTTTAGTGGTTTTCCACTAATTGGACAATAAATTGTTTTATCTGGTTTCTGTAATATAGTTTCTTTTGCTTCTGGTGTTTTAGAAGGAATCCAAAAACTTGGTAACACTTTATCTTTGCCATTGCTCATATTAGAAACCGAAGAAGTTGATTCACTAGCTGTCGCTTGACTTTTTAAGACAATAGTTTTCTCTCCCTTTAAAAATTGTTGCAACTTTTGTAACTCTTCATTAGCAGTTTTCTCATGAGATTGTTCCTAAAGCAATATTAAAAATCATAATGTGTGCAAAGATATTGTATCTTTGTGTTTACGTACTTCTTGTTGCTGTTTTTGTTTCTCATACTCTTTCAGTTTCCTTGCATATTCCTTCTTTTTAGTCAACACATATTCTAATATTGCTTCTTTATCAAATAAATAGCCATCTTTTCTATTAAAAAGAATATGACATTAGCATAAGGAAAATAAATAAAACTCATAAAATGATATACTAACGTTATGACAGGGTTTCTACAAGGTTGTAATGTAAGACAACAACAGTCAAAATCTTTAACAGAATCTTTTCCCACTCTTTGTGTATTTGTTCCATAACCTGAGGCTGCAGCGTCTTTCTTCTTTTCGTGATAAGTATAAACAGCACCAGCTGTACAGTTCCTGGCGTGTCGTGTCATGTTTTGTTTACTGATCTATTTCATTCTAATTTTCATCAGTGACTACAAATACAATCTGTATTTACGAGTGGTACGTCGTTGTTGCGCCCTCTACATTCATTTTCATTGTGTCGGTCATAGAGCGAGCGGGCTGAAGCTTAGCGAAGCTCTTATACTTGACTTTGCAACTTCTTTGTCCGCGTTTTTTTTTTGCACCACTCAACCAATTCTCATCAAATTTTGCACGCACATGCATATGTACATTCAAATGGACATAGAAAAAAAAAATTTAATTGGATTTGCCACGAACGAATAATCACCGAAAAAACTGATCCTAAAAAGTGGGGGTCCGAACACGCATATAAGGAAAATAAAGAAATGAATACTTCGGCACTTTGTCGACGTAGTATGGTTCCTGAGGCATTTA